CCCCCCGCTGGCCGAGGAGCATGCGGTAGCCCTCCTGCGGGTCCTTTTTGGCCACGTTGCAGAAGAAGCCACTGCAGATGCCCTTCTGCACATGCACCGTGGCCTTGCAGCAGGACACCACATCCAGCTTGTGCCTGTCCATGATGCCCAGCATCTGCTTGCGGACGTCCTGTGCACGGCACAGGGAGCGGGCTTGGAGGAAGTTGTCATAGCACCAGGCCTGGGAGAACCCGTTGTTCTCCCAGGAGTTGTACACCGCCAGCAGCATGAGGTGGTCGCCCTGGGCCTGGTGGAACTTGGCCTTCTTCTGGTTGGTGAGGGCTTGTTTGTCATTGGGCCTGTAGAAGACGCTCTGCACGGACAGCATGGACACGATGGTCAGCATCTCCTTGCTGCAGCCCAGGTGCACCAACATGATGAGCATCTTGCACAGCATGGGTTCCAGCAGGAACTGCGCCATGCTGCGGCCCAGGCGGGTGAGCCGTCCCTGGTCGTCCAGGGCCCCCAGCGCGTAGAGCTGGTCCATGGCGGCGAGCAGGGTCTCCACCGGGGGGGCGTCCATGAAGTCGAAGGACAGCAGGTCGTTGACGCCCATGGCCCTGAGGGACATCACGGTGCTGGCCAGCTCAGTCCTCTGGATCTCGGGCACATTGTTGGAGAGCATCTTGTCGCGGTATGAGCGCTCCGTGTACAGCCGGTAGCACCTCCCGGGGCCCATGCAGCCAGCCCTGCCAGCGCGCTTTCACCTGGGTACCGGGGGGGCGTCCATGAAGTCGAAGGACAGCAGGTCGTTGACGCCCATGGCCCTGAGGGACATCACGGTGCTGGCCAGCTCAGTCCTCTGGATCTCGGGCACATTGTTGGAGAGCATCTTGTCGCGGTATGAGCGCTCCGTGTACAGCCGGTAGCACCTCCCGGGGCCCATGCAGCCAGCCCTGCCAGCGCGCTGCTTCACCTGGGCCTGCGAGATGGGCGTCACCACCAGCTGGTCCACGCCCGTCTTGGAGTCATAGACCCTCTGCTTCACAAACCCCGGGTCCACCACGTAGTAGATGCCGTCGATGGTCAGCGAGGTCTCTGTGATTTTGGTGGCCATCACGACATTCCTGCTGCCTGGCGGGGCCGGGTTGAAGATCCGGGTCTGCATGGCGCTGGGCAGGGCAGAGTACACGAGCAGGATGATCAGCTCGGGGACGTCGGGGCCCAGGGACTTCATGCTCTCGTACAGGATCTCGCAGGCCATGTCGATCTCCTCCTGCCTGGTCAGGAAGACCAGGATGTCACCCGGCGGCTCGGTGAGGTGGATCTGCATGGCGGTGATCAGGCTGGCATCCAGGTAGTCGGTCTCGGGCTCCTTGGCGTACAGGATCTCCACGGGGTACACGCGGCCCGGCACGGTGAACATGGGGGCCTCGCAGAAGTACTGGGAGAATTTCAGCGCATCCAGTGTGGCCGAGGTGACGATCAGCTTCATGTCCCGCCGCTTCTGCAAGGTCTCCTTCAGCAGCCCGAACAGCACGTCGGTGTGGATGGTCCTCTCGTGGGCCTCGTCCAGCATGATGGCGGCGTACTGCGTCAGGTCGGGGTCCGCCAGGCACTCGCGCAGCAGCATGCCGTCCGTCATGTACTTGATGCAGGTCTGCGGGCCGCTGCAGTCCTCGAAGCGGACGGTGTAGCCCACCTCTTGACCCAAGCGGCAGCCGAACTCCTCCGCCACCCTCTTGGCCACGGACATGGCGGCCACGCGCCTGGGCTGGGTGCAGCCGATCTTGCCGCGGCTCGCGTAGCCGGCCTCGGCCAGGTACTGGGTGATCTGCGTGGTCTTCCCGGACCCGGTCTCCCCGATGACGAGGAGGACCTGGGTGTCGTGGACGGCCTGCAGCAGCTGCCCCTTCAGCCTGTAGATGGGCAGGCCCTCCCGCTGCTCCAGGATGGACAGCTGTGTCTTCTTGCCGAAGGACGCCTGGTGGCCCCCGAACGCGTGCCTCTTCCACTCGGGGATGCGGCTGGGAGTCACCCCGATCGCCCCCAGCTTGGCAGCGATCTGCCTGCCCTGGGCGTCAGGCAGGGGGTCGACCCAGTGCTTGTGGAGGCCCGTGGGGATGGAGTCCATGTCGGCCTCCCGCAGCTGCGCCTGCTTCAGCTCCCGCCGCTCCTTAGCCAGTGCGCTCTGCATCATGGCAGCCCACCACAACAAGCCTTCCGGGTTCTTCACCACCTTGACGGCGGGGCTCCTGTCCCCGCTGCTGCGCTTCGTGCGGCCCTGCAGGAACGGGGGCTCCTCGTCCACCAGCTGGATCTCCAGGTCCTCATCTTGCTCACCGCCCAGCTGCGGGAGGATGCCTGTCTCCGCGTCAAAGTCTGGAAACTCCTCTTTGGAGAGGACGTCGGCCACAGTCATCTGTTTGATTTCCCACTTCTCGAGATCCGAGATGGCTGTAAGGAGGCCCTTGCTCTCCAGCCAGTCGTCCTCCACCTTCGGGGTGACGAGCAGCAGGTGGCTGGGTCTGTCTGGGTTCTGCGTGGAGGTCTCCTCCCCGGTCTCCCTGACCAGGTTGTACAACCGCTGCTGCCACCATGGCTCCTGCTGCTGCCGCCGCTGCCTCTGCCTCTCCCGGCACCACCCACTTTTGTTCAGATCCTCTCCGCTCTCCTGGTCCACATCATTCATGCTCAGGCTGGTCCTGGTCCCAGTGAAGGACAGCACTTTGGCCTTGACCCGCTGGCCTTTGCTCACCACGTCCGCCACGTTGGCCACGCGGGCCTCGCGCCGCAGCTCGGAGATGTGCACCAGGCCTTCCCACCGCTTCTTGAGCCCCTCCAGGTGCACAGCGCACCCGAACTGCAGGATGTTGGTGACCTTTCCTGCGTATATGTGGTCAATGCTGGCTCCTCAGCTGATGGGCGGTCCACGCGCTTGTCCCGCCACCTGGCCAGGCTCCCCTCCTCAACCTGGTCCCAGGGGTCCTTTGGGCCCTTGGGGGCGCTCTGGCTCCTGCTCCCGGGACGGTGTCGGGACCTCTCTTTCTTCCTCTCCGGGGTCCGGGAACGGGACCTGACCTTTCCTGCGTATATGTGGTCAATGCTGGCTCCTCAGCTGATGGGCGGTCCATGCGCTTGTCCCGCCACCTGGCCAGGCTCCCCTCCTCAACCTGGTCCCAGGGGTCCTTTGGGCCCTTGGGGGCGCTCTGGCTCCTGCTCCCGGGACGGTGTCGGGACCTCTCTTTCTTCCTCTCCGGGGTCCGGGAACGGGACCGCCAAGAGCAGGACTGCTGGCTGCGCCTGCGTTCTCTGTCTCTGTCTCTGTCTCTGTCTCTGTTTGTGTCCCAACCCGGGTCCCGGTCTGGGTCCCAGTCCTGGCCCTGGCCCTCTGTGGCGCTGGGCATCAGGGCCTGCAGCTCTCTCAGGACATGCACGGCGACCTCCACGTCATCCTCCTCCAGCATGGTCCAGATTTCTTAGTGCACTTTATAGTGACTTCTAGGTTATATAAAGCTTTTGTGAAAACTTTTTTACGTTGTTTCACACCACTTCTGGGTATCCCTGTTTTGTGGTCAATTCCAGGCAAAATTTTAAAGACTTAGTTCCATGTAGATGGCCCCTTCTATCTGGTTCTCAACATTCTGCTTCCATTATGTTCCTACTTGTTCCTAATTTTTGCCTCACTTTTTTCTTAAATGGAAGGGAAAGTAACTTGGTTTAAAAAGTTTTAGAACAAAGCCCCTGAGACTCTGCTAGGCCCTGCTCCCCACTCCCAGCACTGGAAAGGAGTGCTTGATGACAGTGTATGTCACAGGGAACCAAAGGAGCAGACTCTGGTGTTCTCGCCAGAACACTGAACAGCAGCACCACCTCTCTGCACCCAGAGTATTTGGTGTCACCCAACTTGGAACATCTTGAAGCCCTTTGATACTAAAGAGGAACTTGGGGGATTTTCTACATAGTCGGTCTCCCCAGTTCTAGAGAGACTTGGTACCTCTGAGCACCAATTGCCTCAGAAGCCAGTCACCCATTTGGCTCATGCAAATGGAACATCCTCACACAAACTCAGAAAGGCAAAGACAACTTTCTATAGTGCCCCCATTGAAGCGTACCAAGTGCAAAGAGAGGAAATGCCTCATCCTAGAAGTAAACCCTGGCCGGACAGCCAACATAACTGTGCCTTGGTGTGTGGGGGAAGCACTATTTCAACACCTATCAGCTGCTCCTCTGCAGGCTGGGCTATGAAGGCACATTTTTCTTTAAGCCCTGATTGGCTTGCCTACAGGTTGAACATAACAATGGGCCAGATGGCCATGCTTGTTTTCTCTCTCCAACTGATTCAAGCTATTCAGCAGTGCCAACATTCAGCTGATGGCCATGCCAATGAAAAACCAACCAGCTAGCCAATGCACAGAGCCTAGAATGCAAACAATCTGGTTGACAGTTCTGCATTGCTGTCACCCATTTAAAAGCACATACTGGCTGGGGGTGGTTTAATCAGCTTGGGGCTCTGACCTGCAGAACCTCCCCCAAAGAGCCAAGATTCTCTATGGATTGGCTCTGCACTGAGGTTCCCACAAATGAAGAGTTCTAAGTTTTACTTCCTCCTGCCTTAGTCAGAATAGCACTTAACAGTGCTGATGCAGTCAGAGCTGCTCTGTCTTCCCCAGAAGATGCAGACCTGGGTGGGAGTAGGGACACACCCTGGGTTGTATATGGTATTTTAAACATGCTCTTGGTGTGAGGTTGGCTCTTGGTTTGCACACTGAGCAAATTGGACTTAACTGGCTATCATTCTGTAACAATTCTTTAAACCACTTATTCATAGTGACTTCAGCTTTAATGAGCCTTTTCTTTAAAATAAAAGCTTATCTGCATGTTTTCAATCACGAATCTTAACCAGGAATATTTTAGGAAACCTTTTTTTCTTAGCCAATTTCTTGTCTAGTTTCTGTTGCTCTGCTTTCACATTTCTAGCCTGCCCTTTGAGAAAAGACGATTTGTCCAAACACTTTCAACTAAAACCTATAGTGAGCTGTTTGTACTCTTTCCTTTCCCTTTATATTTTAAATCAATCATTTGAGGGTGTTAAGTTTACTTTGAAGCTTTTTCCAATTTGAGGCTTCTGTAAACTCAAGCTTGCTTGAGTTCTCCATAACTAGGAATAATTCCTCTAGACAGCATTTCAAGTTGTGGATTTAAGTGTCAATAGTGCTGTATCTTATCTATATAAAATTAAATTATAGCATAGGAACACTTTATAACTTGGGTTTTTGCATGATTCTAATGTAACATAGTATTTGGGTGTTTTTTTTTGTTTTTTTTTTGTTTGTTTTTTGGTACTGGTGATTGAACTCCGGTCCTTATCCTAAATCCCCAGCCCAGTAATATTTTTAACTAATGCAAAGTACAATATTCAGTTAAGGGTAATAGCTTTTTGGCTAAAGGATGTTAAGTAGAAAGTGATCAGGAAAATAATGATCAAAATGATTTTAGATGTTACAAAAATAGCTATTTTATACAGATATACTTAAATATAAGAATATATCTAAAACACTCCTGAAAAGGCCAAAGAAGGTAAAACTTACAGTGTTTCATCTTGAACCCTAGTTAATACTTCCATTCTGATTCATTCTGTGAGAGCTCAACATTTCCTTTTCATCACTGTTTTCCATATAGCATTCACTGAAAATGACTTGAATGTCAAGTCTTTTTAAGAAACTGAATTTATTATAAATGTACAAAGGGGGGGAGATATACTCTTCATAATTCATGTTGTCCTGTTTTACAGAGAAAATATCGTTAAAATACTTCTGCAATCCTGCTGACCTTATGTTGCCCATGCTTTTTTTTTTTTTTTTGTACTGGGGATCAAACTTGGGTCCCTGCACTTGAGGGGCAGGATGTGGAACCACTGAGCTAAATCCCCAGCCCTGGCCCATGCATTCTTAGCTGTTTCT